TCCTAGCCACCAGGGTGGTTTTATAAACACATCAGTTGGGCATCTTACAGAGCCATGATTGTGCAATCATGTTTTGGTAACAGTTCAGAAGGTGGTGCTTGCCAACATTTGCTGAATCACCTGATGACTGTAGTCCCAACAGATTTTTGTGATGTATTTATTGGAGGCCCAGACAATTAAGATGTAATTATCAGATTATTCTGAATTATTGAAATGAAATAACCAGTGTTTGGCCTTTCTAGAGTACTTCCATGTATATTGATTACCTTATTTTAATCCCTTTAGCAATCATATCAATTAAGGAATAATAATAACTGATGTAGTGCTTTAAGGCTTGCTAAGCACTTAGTTGTTTGGTTGGTTTTTTTTTAAAGACTGGGTCTCCCTATGTCACCTAGGCTGGAAGTGCAGGGGTTACTTGTGGGACCAGTCCCAGTCTGGTCAGCCCAGAGATTTTTACCTGCTCTCTTTCTGACTTAGGCTGGTTCAGCCTTCCTTAGATAATTTGATGGTCCTTTGTTCCTAGGGGCTCATGATACTAATGCCAAACTTAGTGAGGACACCTGATCAGCTTACCCTACACCACCTCAGAACTCCAGAGCTCAAAAGATCCACCAGACTTAGCCTCCCCAGGAACTGGAATTACTATGCCTGGCTCAAAACACTTTTACCCATAGCATTTCATTTGGTCCTCACAACATCCCCACAAGGTATAGATACCTATAAGTATTGTTATCGATATTTTACAAATGAGGAAACTGAGGCTAGGAGAAGTTAAGTGACTTGCCTACAGCCACAATTCCAAATCTGGCACTTTCTAATGTACCACATTGTTTCATTGATCTTACATGACCTAGGGCAAGCCACTTAACCTCCACCTCAGTTTCCTCAAGTGTAAAATGGGGATAATAATGCCTACCTCCCAGAATTTTTGTGGGGACTGAATGAGACTTGCTGCAACAGTACTAAAACAGTACAAAAGATAGTAGGTACTAAATTAATGCTTATTTCCTTCCTTCCTTCTATCCTTCCTTCTTTTCTTCCTTTCTCATATTTATAGATAAGGTGGCTATGGATTAAAGAAATAAAATGACTTGCCCAAAGTCACACAGCTAGTAATGATGAGCGAAATCTGGACTTCCTAATGCCCTACTAAATGTTCTTTCCTCTAGACCAATGCTGTCTTATTTAATTACATTCGCCTAGTGAGTACTCAATAAATATTAAATGAGGAATGAGGAAAATTTAGAATCATTAGGTACTGTTCTCCTCAAGTCTTTAAAAAAAATTTTTGAATATTTATTTTTAGTTCTAAATTCTCCACCTCCCTCCACCCCTCCCCCACCCATTGACAAGGCAAGAAATATGATACTCATTATACATATGAAATGATACAAAACATATTTCCACATTAGCAATGTTACAGGAAAAAATCAAGAAAAGTAAAGAAAAAGGAAAAAAAATACGCCACCATCTACACTTAGAGTCCATCAGTTCTCTATCTAGAGGTGGATAGAATTTTTCATCATGAGTCCTTTGTAATTGCCATGGATCATTGTATTAACTAGAGTTGTTAAGTCTGCCGTCAACAGTTGATCATCATTAAAATAATACTGTTACTGTGTAAATTGTTCTCCTGGTTCTGCTCGCTTCACTTTGTATCAGTTCATCTGTCTTCTTGGTTTTCTGAAACTACCTCCTTTGTCATTTCTTAGAGCACAATAATATTCCATCACAATTATATAACACAGCTGGTTCAGTCACTCTCCAAATGATGGGCATCCCTTCAGTTTCCAATTCTTTGCCACCACAAAAAGGGCTGTTATACATATAGGTGTCCTTTTTCTTTATTCTTTGACTTCTTTGGAATATAGATCTTTGTGGGACAAAGGGTATAATCCATGCTTTTATAGCCCTTTGGGCATGGTTCCAAATTAGTCTCCAGAATGGTTGGATCAGTTCACAACTCCACCAACAATGCATTAGTGTCTCAATTTCCTCACATCCCCTCCAACATTTGTCATTTTCTTTCTATGTCATATGAGCCAATCTGATATGAGGTGGTACCTCAGAGTTGTTCTAATTTGCATTTCCTTAAATAATAAGCAATTTACATTTGCATTTCTTTAAACAATACACAATAATACATTTCTTTAAACTTTAAACAGTGATTTGGAGCATTTCTTCATATGACTATAGATAGTTTTGATTCCTTTGTCTAAAAACTGAAAACTGTTCATATCCTTTGACTATTTGTCAATTAGGGAATGGCTCTTAATTTTTATAAATTTGATTTAGTTCTCTATATATTTGAGAAATTACATTTATCATAGAAACTTGCTGTAAAAAATTGTCCCCCAGTTTCCTACTTCGGTTTTGCTTGTTCGAAACCTTTTTAATTTAATATAATTTTACCTCCCCTAGCCCTCTCTATCTCTTGTTTGGTCATAAACTTTTCCCCTATCCATAGATCTGACAGGTAATTTTTTTCCATAATCCTCTAAGCTGTTTATGATAATACTCTTTATGTCTAAATTATATACACATTTTGAGCTTATCTTGCTATGTGCTGTTAGATGTTGATCTGTGCCTAGTTTCTGCCAGACTACTTTCCAGTTTTCCCAGCATTTTTTTTCTTCAGATAGTAAGTTCTTGCCAGTAGCTGGGCACTTTGCATTTATCAAACACTAGGTTACTGTGCTCATTTGCTTCTATATATTGTGTACCTAATCTATTCTCTTGATCAACCTCTCTACTTCTTAACCAGTACCAAATTTCCTCAAGTCTTTAGGGACAGACTTGATTTCTTTTCTTTTCTTTCTTTTTTTTTTTTTGTGAGGCAGTTGGGGTTAAGTGACTTGCCCAGAGTCACACAGCTAGTTAAGTGTGATGTATCTGAGGCCTTATTTGAACTCAGGTCCTCCTGACTCCAAGGCCAGCTCTCTATCCACTGCGCCACTTAGCTGCCCACTTGATTTCTAAAACAGGTGGGAAGTTAGACAAGAAAACTTCCATAGGAGATAGAGCTGGAAGGAATTCTAGAGATTGTTCAGTCCAAAAACTTATATAGAAACATATCCCTGGAGGCTACATTTTTTACTTAAAAAATCACAAATTAACATTATCGATGTTGTATTGCATTTTTACCTTTTTTTAAAAGGTTTCCCAATTACATTTTAATCTGGTTCCAACAGCACTTAGGTAGGCCCTTGAGGCTGCTAGACTGGGATTTTGATACCTTTGATCTCATCCAACCTTCTCATTTTGCAAATGAAGAAACTGAGGCCTAGAGATATGACGTGACTTGCTAGAGCTCAACCTCATAGTAAGTACAATTGAGATTTGAATCACTATCCTCATTCTCTAAATCTAGTGCCTTTTCAAGGGTCTAGGGAAGGTATTTAGGCATAAAAAGGGATTATTTTAGTATGTGGCAAGCTGGATAAGAAATAGTCTTAATTAGGGGCAGCTAGCCGGCAAAGTGGAGTCAGGAAGACCTGAGTTCAAATCTGTTCTCAGACACTTGATCACTTGATACTTACTAGCTGTGTGACTCTGGGCAAGTCACTTAACCCCAACTGCCTAGATGAAAAAGAAGAAGAAGAAGAAGAAGAAGAAGAAGAAGAAGAAGAAGAAGAAGAAGAAGAAGAAGAAGAAGAAGAAGAAGAAGAAATAGTCTTTAGCTTTCTTTCTCCACTTTTCCTATCCCTTTGCACAGAGGCAGGGGAATGTATATGGAATAGGAACAAAACATGGTACTGGTGAGTGAAGCCTACATTTCTCATGAGACCTTGGGCTCAAAGCATGTTTGCTGATTGGAAGACAGTAGCGCCTCAGTTTCCCAGGAGGCTCTGTGGCCTTGGCTCTGGCACTGACTGCTGGAGAGTCAAGAAAACTTCTGGAAAGGAGGATCTCATGAAGGGGAAGAAGGAGCAATGGGGAAGCAGAGTATTGGGATCTGATCAGGGATGCAGAAACTGCCTCCCTAGAAATTTCTAAACCCTCCCTCTCACCCCAGTTCTTGCTTCTCTGGAAAGGGCAGCACTCACTGTAAATGTGGCCTTCTATTACTTTCTGTTGCTTTACTGTTGATTTCGTCCTCCATAAATAGTCCATGTTCCTCAGCTTAATGATGGACTTAGTTTGCTAAGGTTTGGAACTGAATAACCCAAACAGGAGTTAACTTCAGAAATTATAAGCATCATTTGGTGGGAGAAGGAGGGAATGGCTGTCAAAAGTAGCCCGGGAAAGTGAATAAAGATCCAGGCTGAAAGTCAAGATGGCTTGGGTTCAGGAATTGTCTTTCACTCATATTGACTGTATATAATCCTGGGCATGTGACTTTACCTATTGGTACCCCCCAGGCAACTCTTTATGATCACAAGTCACAAAACACCATAAACCATAAGTTGCAGAATGGTTGTGAATGTTCATTGACAGAGGAGGTTTACTAATGGGGACCTCCCTACACTAGAGAAATCACAAGTCTTCTTGGAAGAAAGCTGCAGGGGCAGCTAGGTGGCGCAGTGAATAGCACACCGGCCCTGAAGTCAGGAGGACCTCAATTCAAATTTGACCCCAGACCAAACACTTGACACTTGTTAGCTGTGTGACCCTGGGCAAACCACTTAACCTCAATTGCCTTAAAAAAAAAAAAAAAGAAAGATGCAAACAAATTCTACAAATATTGTTATAAATGAGGATGTTTTAAATGCCTAAAACTTCGTGTCCCTTTGGGTATTTATCTTGTAGTAAGTCACATGTATTACTGTGAAGGCTCAAGGCTTTGGTGGAAACTAATACACAAAGGGCACAATTGTCAAATTTTGCCTAAGGCCTACAAATAAATGACTTGTGCTGGCTCTGCTAACGACTCTACATTCTCTGATTCCCTGAACACTAGTTATTGTCCAGTTGACTAAAGTACCAAACGTGTGTGCGCGCATAAAAGAAAAAAGAAAAAGAAAGAAAAGAAAAGCCACAGAGCGGAAGTTACTTACCTAAGATGGGGAGGGGGAGGGGCTCGAAGTGCCGATAAGAGAACCCAGGAGTCCTGGCTCTCAGTTCTGGGTGCTGCTCCTATTTGGGGATGGGGTGGGAGGGGGTGGGGAGAAGAGACAGCAGCAGACTTATGAGAACAAGTCTGGAAGAAAGGGAGGGAGTTCAGGAACACAAGCAGCATGGGAAAATCTGCTTCTGCCTTTTGTGGGGAGTTTGAGGTGGCGGGGGGGGGGGGGGGGGGGGGGGGGGGGGGGGGAGGCGCACACTCGGGTGTGTAGCTGCCCATAGAGGGAGAAGAGGAAAGTGAGAGAACACTTGCTCTAGATGGAAAGTACCCTAAGCTTCCAGTTCCTCTGTGAGCCTCTGTTGACAAAAACACGCCAACTCTGACAGTGGCTGTTCAGGAAGGCTGTGTGAGATTAACAAGAAAAAAAATCGCCCTCATTGCTTGTCAGCCTATTCCCTTAGGAGCCCTTCTTAGGGGAGGTCAGGTCTCTGAGCCCAAGGTTGTCTAGGGTACGGGCGGGTGACAGCAGCCCAGCACATGTGTGTGGGGAAGACGCGGGGCTGGAAGAGGGGTGGGGAGAGGAGGGGAGGGAGGCAGAGAGGAGGAGCTTCGGGCTGCCAGGAAACCAGTTAATAGAGAAGAGGTTGAAAGAGATCCAGCGGATAAAGAGACATTCAGAGTTCAGCTAATGAACGGGATGACTCATTGACTGAATCAGACAAAGATTAGCATGGAAAGGGGGCGGGGGTGGCGGAGGAAATTACTCAAAGGAGCATTGCTGAGGCAAATGTTCAAACCGAGCTGGGAGGCCAGGGACATGATGTTACTTAGAGCACAGCCTACGGCCCTGGGGTTGGAGGGAGGGGGAGATCCGCAAGAAAAACACAAGGAGAAAACTGCGTCTGAGGCCAGAAAATGAGAGAAAGGAATTTGTAACCTCCTGTGCTGGGAGAAATGTTGAATTCTCTCCAGCGACAAGGACCTCCCAGGATCTCAGAATACCCACCTGTATTGCTTTATCATCTCATCCCCGAGAAGGGGAGACGATGAAGCTGCCACCTCTTACTTTACAAATGACATAGTAATCAGGAAAATAAGGCCACTGTGACTCACCTTCCTTCTCCCCATTAGAGTTGTAAGATCCTTGAGAGCAGGGACCCTCTCATTTGCCCCAGCACTTAACACAGGGCCTAGCACATAACTAGGTATTTAATGTTTGTAATCAGTCAAAAAATGTTTAACACTTTCTTCTTTTAAAGATCTGAAAGCATGTAGCATAAATAATCGAGCATGTTTAGATTTTTTTTATATTATAAAAACTTGGCCAGAGATCATCATAATTTTGGGGGGTGGGAAACTGAGATACTATGCAAAAAAGTCCAAAGTCATACAGCAGGCACTTAATAACCCCTTGAGGCTCAATCCTATGGCCTCACTCACCAGTCCCTGGCTATGCCTAAGCAGGAGCACAAGACAAAGGTATGGAATATGTGCAGCAACCAGTCCATCAATATTAGATAACAGCTATGTTCCAGGCCCTGGACTAAGATCTGGAGATATAATGACAAGAATGAATTAGAATCTTACATTCTAATGGGAGAGGCAAAGTATACATTTAGTATATGCTCTGGGACGACTATGTCAACTAACTCATACAGGCAAGCCCAATCCCTGGAGAGCTGCTATTACTTCTCCCCTCAGGGACTGAGGAAAAAAGACTATCCTAGAAAATTTGTCACTTCACCAGTACCTCCAGCCTCCTAATTTCACTAAGACTCCCCTAGCTTGAAACATCTACTTCCCCAGGGCTCCCATCTCCAGCTTCAGCATTCCTGAGAAACTATGACCTGGGTTGGCCAACAGTTTATTCCTCTCTTGTATTTCAACTTCATCACAGTTCTTATTCTTAGGAGTTTCCTCTTAGACCCACTCATTACCTTACTTCCTAGGACCTGTCAACCCCCTCTTTGGCTTCCTCTGGGTATCTGACACATAACATCTGGGATAAGTGCTGAAATTATATTACCAACCCACCATCCTGGGGGCATGTTCTTTGGGTTGTTTTTACAACACTAGGGTCTGGCTGACCCTTCCGAAGTTTCTTGCCTAGAGGTCTTTGTGATCGATGGTATGCACGTGGATGCCTGGCCCTCTAGCAAATGTTTGCAAGTGGGGGATGTGGTAGCAGTAGAGAAGCTAGTAAGATCACGAGTAAAGAGAAAGGCTCGGACCAGGAACATGATTTTTCTATGAGAAAAAAAAATCTCTTTCCCCCTTTTTTGCTCATTGGAATGGGCCCAGTGTGGCATAAGCTCAGTTCAAATGTTGCGCTCCACATTTCATCAGTACAACCTAAAAGTGCAGAGTACCCACAGGCCAGAGTTGACTGCCCTCTGGCGTAGTCTTAACTAAAAAATCTCAAAGGATCTATACCTCTTTGCCTTCGCTCAGTCTTGCATCTCTAATGTTGGCGGTTGAGTTTTTGCATCTCTATGACTCAAAGTTTCCAAAGGCACTGAAATCTATGTCACATACTTTTAACCCAAGCCCAATATAGTTGTCGTTTTTTTAAACCTCGTTTCCTTCTTGAAAAGAGAATGACAAGGTTTGTGCTGTCCAAAATGAAGCACAGATATCACAGGCTGGTGTGTGTAATCATGAATCCTAGGGTCCTAGATTGGAGTTGGAAGAGATCTTAGAGACCATCTAATTCAGTCCCTTCGTTTTTACAGACAAGGAACTGAGAGGTTAAGAGGTTAAAGAAGGAACTGGAAACAGAGGGGATGCCAGTGATTTACCTACATGGTTTACCTAGCCCTCTGTTTTTACTCTCGATTCATTTGCATGTCAATCAGGGATCATGCTGGGGATGAGGGCAACCTCAGTTCCTAAAGGTATGGAGGGGGAGTGAAATTCCTGAAATAGGGTTTAGGAACACAGGCTGACAAATAGGGATATCACAGAAGTTAAAAGGAAATTTTTTTCAGAGATAATGTACGTAAAGTACTTTGTATAAACCATAAAGCACTATATAAATATAAGCTTTAATCACCACCATCATCATCATTATTAAATTATCTATGACAAAAGACCTGGCCTTCTGGGATCAGAAAAAAAAAGCAGTCGCAAGAATAGCTTAAATACCGGGAGCATCCTGATGGAATTTGTTGACTGCCTGGCAGGGTGGGATGACTCATTTGTTGTTCCTGTTGTTCAGCCATGTCCTACTCTTCTCTTCATGGCCTCATTTGGGATTTTCTTGGCAAAGATGCTGGAGTGGTTTGCCATTTCCTTCTCCAGCTCATTTTACAGATGAGGAAACTGAGGCAAACAGGGTTAAGTGACTTGTCCAGGATCACACAGCTAGTAAATGTTAGGGCCACATTTGAACTCAGGAACATGGGGTCTTTCTGATTCTAAGCCCAGCACTCTATCCACTACACCACCTAGCTGCCTGTGATAACTTATAGACTAGGCTATACACTAAGAATTTTATCTTTCCTTGTCAGGGAGAGACTTTCTAGCCACTGCAGATGGTAGCAGAAAACATTAGCCTGGAATTAGTGACCCCACAGAGACTATCCTCCTTGCTGATGTCCAGCCCATGGTAGCAGAGAGCAGTTCAGTGACCATAAAGCCACTAGAGATAACCAGCAGAGAGTAGCGTGAAGACCTCACTAGAAGATACTAGTAATTGTCCAGCAACAGTGTGAAATCATCCTGGCCATGGATATACTCTGGTCTCCTGTTCTCCTTCATGTACATTCCCTTGCATTATAATGCTTTTGTGTTCCATCGATACTAGCGTTTTGTGACTACCTCCAAAGATGTGTGGGACCCCAGGCTTCCTTGCACTTCCCCTTTAACTCAGTCTGTGGCTTGTATGTTTTTGCAACTAGTCTCGCATGCTCTGTACTCTACTATGCTCTCCTGGAAGGCTGCGATAAGTAAGCCTTCTTGGTGGCCAGCAAGGTAAAGGGGTCACACCCACCTGATATATGATCAGGAAAAGGGGTACAGAGGAGTAGCCCCCCTTTGAAACTTCTGGTCCAACCAACCCGTAAATCAGCCAATGAGACCTTACATCCTAGCCTGTTATCCCTGAGAAGACTTGACCTTCATGTGGGTATTCTCTACTCGGATTACGCTAGGGAAAACTGTCCCTCTGTAGATACCATCTAGAGTTTTGCTGTGTTGCTCCTCCAGTTCATTACCCTCTTATCCTTGCTGACCTATGCCTACCAGTTGCTGGCTATGGTAAGTGTCAATGCAATGACAATAACTCTGCCCTTGAGTGACCCTTCCTTCTGCTAATAATAATAATAATAATAATGATGATGATGATGATGATGATAATAATAATAACAACTATTATTTACATAGTGCTTATTATGTGCCAGGCACTGTGCTAAGGGCTTTACAATAATTATCTCATTTGATCCTCTTAACAACTCTAGGTAGTAGGTGCTATTTTTATCCCCATGTTACTGATGAGGAAACTAAGGCCAAAAAAAGGTTAAATGACTTGCCCAGGGTTACACAGCTAATAAGTGTTTAGGACTGGATTGGAACATAGATCTTTCTGACTCTAGATCCCGAGCTCTATCCATTGTGCCGGCTAGATGCTGTTAGTACCCAGTGAACCAGGTCTGGGCTAGTGGTATACAGTTATCCTAGTATATGAGGTACTGTCCAGAGCTAGGACTAGTACCCACAGCAGCTGCACTACTATCTAGATAAGCATGGGGCTGTGATTCAGGATATGAATGCAAGGGCTGTAGGTCTCAACCCTGTGTGTCCTAGCATCACAGAATTCCACTTTCTTTAGCCCTTAAATTGCCAACCATGTTTGAAATTAGATTTGGGACCCACTCTTTCTGCCACATATTGGGAACTCCCTCACTGAACCCTATGTCCCGGCAAACAGGGACTCCTGCTCCCCAAAAACTGCCCTATTAGAAAAGGAATTGGACATTGTGCAAAGCACCCAGCCATATGTGTTAACTTTATATGAGCTCTCCATTTAGATTCTATGATCATAAGTATTCTCTGTGTGTTCTCTCCCTGACTGATAGTATGGTAATCTATAAC